GGAGGGGGGCAGGGAAGCACAGCTGGACTGGCAGTCTGCAATGACTATCTAAACTAAAGTCATCTATCTATCTAAACAAACTCCTCTTCCATTCCCCTTGTGCTTCTGATCTGAAATGCAACACCCTTTAACTGAATTCTGCCTTCATGCCCAAGTATAGAGGAATAATATAGTCACGCACATGTGTTTCTCTTAGACTTAGAGTGTATATAAATATAAACAGATCCTAAAGTGAAGATGGTAATCTTTTAAACAGTGGCTAATAATCGACCAGCAATGGACCATTTACCACTATTAAGGGATAAAAGTTATTCCCATTTTTCTCATTTGCTTTTGTTTCAGTGTTCTTAAATGTATGTGTATATGTGTGTGTGTGTGTGAAATGAAAGTAATATATATGTAGATTAGATAATAATTGCAATATCATGCATGATCCATTTAAAAAGTCCTAAATATGAATCCAGTGTTCCTGGGTTTCTCTTTCAAGAAAATTGTTCAGATAAAGATAGAAATAGAGCTGTACAGTATGTGCTGTTAGGGTATGTGTTTAATCTGTACACACTCTGTTGTATGTCTCTCACTGTCCACATACATAATTTGTTCACTCCTTTCATTTTATTTTATTTTTAAAAAGTATATACTTAAAATTATGGAATCAAGCAGAACACAAAAGAGAAAAATGGGAATATAATACTTATTCCACAATACTAGTAAATGATCCATTTATCATGTAATTACTGCTAGCTGTTTAAAAAGTTCATATTCTCTCCTTTAAGTTATCCCAAACGTTGATCCTGGTCCTGAAAACACCTACTTGGTTAGTATTGATTTCAATACTACTCATGTAAGTAAGAACTATTCTCCCGAGGAAGAGTTTGCAGGATTAGGAGCCTTGAGGTCCATTAAAACATGGGCCTCTAAGAGCCCAGTTCTGTCCCCTTACTCACAGTAATACCATACTGCACCAATAAGTCCAAATAATTTCAGTGGGGCTGCCTGTGCAGTGAGGTACTACTCAACATGACAGAGACAAAGGGAAGTGGACTGAGTTCTAAATTAATTCATCTATGTTCATATCTACTTTCCTCTCTTTCTACAATCACTCAGTTTCCTGGTACACACAAGTCCTCCTCCCTACTCTGTTCAGAAACTACAGAATAATTCCTGATGGTTTGTTTTCCCCCTTCCTGACCAAGTATTTTCACAATATATATATATTTTTTTTTAAAAGTTGATCTAACCAAATGCAGACTGACTGAATGTTACAAAATAAGTATGGTGAGATGCTCAGCACTGTCTCCTCCACTGGGCCTGGCCCTGGCCCTGGCCCTGGCCCTGTCAAACCTCACTCATATACAAGCAGTAGAGCAGTGGAAAGACTTAAACAAAACTTTTTTCCATTTGTCAAAACCAAAATCTTTTGATGGAAATTTCTTTTGAAGATTTCTTGGGTCCCAGTGGGGAGAGAGCAGCCTACCCGGAACAGCCAGTAAGCTGGTGGTTAGGGCACTCAGCTGGGATGTGGGAGACCGTCCTGAATCCACCCTATCCCAGGTGAGTACTCTAATCACAGGGCTACTGGCTATTCTGGGGTGGGTGGGTTGGTAGTTCTCTTGTGAAAATTTTTGAAATGTCTCGTTTTCATTCGGCATCAAAACAAAAACAAATTTCAAAACCTTGAATGTTTGGTGGAATGGAATTGTTTTCTGGCCTGTCCTAGAAATAGTTGCATTGACTTCAACTTCAGATTGAAGTCAGTGGTACATATCATGTTACAATGGACACGTGTGAAGGTTTGCATTCACTCTAGTGCATAGTGACGGCATCAGCAGCTTGTAAGAGGCACTTGGCACCTCACAGGACTGGGACCTTATGTCTTAAAATAAAGAGATGCATATGGTTTAAATTGGCTTATAGACGAAACAATCATTCCAGAGCTATCGCCTGCACTAAGTCAGAAAATGTGTTAGAAAAGATGAGTGCCTCAAGCCTTTGGAAATGCATTCCTCCCCTCCCACCCTTTTGCACCAGATTTCCTGCCAAGTTTACTTCTCTAATTACAAATATGACAAATACGTTGCTTGGGATTTATCTACAACCTTCCCAAAGACAAAAACCAAACTGAATACGTACAATGCATTTGCTCTCCCACAGACACTCATGCAGTAGAAAATTTTATGGGCTATTGTTTTGGAAAACTAATTTAATTGAGACAATACTACTAAGATTCTGCAACTCTCTCATCTTTTTCAGTAATTTAAACAAAATTAATTCCTGGGGGTTTTTTTTTGTTTGTTTGTTTTTAAATATACGTTGAATCCGTGATAGTATGGTAGATAGTGAGGACTTTACACTGTGGCTGAAAAAAATTAAGCTTCATTTGCGGGTTTAAAAAGCACCATCCTAATCCCCAGGGAAATCTTTACCACCTGGTGGAAGAGCTAAACGCCTGAGGCAATGCTCTGAGCACTTACTGCTCTAGAGACTTGGTAGGCAAAGAAGACTGCTCAGGAAGAAGGAAGAAAAATCATGGGGGTTTTGGTTTTTTTTTTTTTTTTTTTTTTTTGCATAGTTTATTCCTGATGTAAGAGATCGTGATGCACTCATAAAAAGCTTGGTCCTGGTCACACTGAAGTCAATGGGAGTTTTTCCATTGGCTTCAGTAGGAGCAGGATCAAGTCCAAAATACCACTGGAAAAATACCAGATTGTGGAGAGTTTAGGGAAAAACAAAGGGAATGTAGATCTGAGCCTTCTTCCCAAAACATCACTGTCGTTCCACAGGAAGAGCTGAAATGCCTAGATTTTTTTTTTTTAAGTTTGCATAAAATTGGGATATAGCAGAGAATTTGTCAAAGTGGAACACAAGAAAATAGGGATCAGCATTTCTGGAATAAGGGGCGTGTCTCTTTCCCCCCCTTTAGTCAGGTGATCCAGCTATTCCTTCTTGCTCTTTCCATGTCCAGGTCCAATTGATGGTAGTTTTGTGGTTGAAGCATGTCTTGACTCTGTCTCCCTTTTCTTGCGTCCACTAACGCTCCTGTTTTCTGTCTTTTCTCCATTTCTCTTTTCACTTCTATCCCTCATTTCATGTTCTTCTTCCCCTTCCCAGTCTCCTCTTACCCCCACCCTGCGACATCCAGCCTCACTCATTAACTCCTTCTGTACACCCCTGGCCACTCTGTCCCCCAGCATTTCTAACATTCAGTGCTGTAATGCAGCAGTTCTAATGACTAACACTAGAAATGCTATCAGCAATAGACGTCAAAGGCGGGTAGTGCTTCTCAAACTGAAGATGAGTAGTGATAGTGATGCCTGTGGGGAGAGCGTGCCATGTTGTGCCAGGAGGATTACATATTGTGACACTGGATTAGAACTGCCTGCCACGGGTGCAACCCACACCTTGAAACCCTGGTAGCCTAGTTGGCATTTTTCTAGCAACTGAGATTAAGGAGGAACAGATTTGAAGCCACAGGAGTTAAATGCCATCAAAATTGCCTGAAGAAACTGATGCTCCAGATGGAAGAATTATTATAATTATACCTTCCTTCTGTATAGTGTCTTTCAGCCACCAGAACCAGACCCCAAGGTGCTTTACAAACTGTCAGTGTGCATATAATTATATATAGGATAAGGATAATTGTCTCCAGGCTGAGACGTGGCATATCTAGGGCCAATTCCTATGCTTAGTTACAATGGTGTAAATCCAGAATAACTCATCTGATCTGAATGTAGTTAATCCAGTGTAATTGTGAGCAGAATTTTGACTAAAATCCGAACCAAGGAGTTTTAAAAAACACTATTAAATGGTTTTGTGGGTTTTTAAGAGGAAGGAAAATGAAATGTCTGAGACCCTTCTGTTATGTAATGAAGAATATGCAAAAATTCAAGGTTTTCTTTTTCTTTTTTTAAACACACAGACACTTATTTCTTATTTCCCACTGAAACCAATGGGAGTTTTGCCTGTGCAAGGACTGCAGAATCAGACCCTGAAATTATGCTGGTCCTTTTAGATATAATTTCTTTTATAACAACCAAAGACTTGATTCTCTAACCCTTACTCATATGACTGGTCCTTTATTTACATGATTAGTCTTATGGTTCTTGTCACACAGAGCCACAGTCCGACGCACGCTTTTTCACAGTGAGCAATACCTTATCTTTGGGAAGAGGCCTGTTGAAATAAATGAGATTACTCTCAGAGCCAGATACTATTAAGAGTGCCATTGAAATCAGTGGGACTCTTTGTGAAGTAAGGTATTGCTCAGGGTGAGCAAGAATGGCAGAATCTGGCCCATAAGGATTAGTTACTTGCATGAGAAAATGTTGCAGGATCAGGCCTCAAGTTAAGTATGAAGAGCTAGACACAAGGGCCCAGATCTTCAAAGGCATTTAGGAGTCTAACTTTATTGATTTTAATGGGAGTTGGGTGACTATCTTTCAGGATCTCGGCCAGCTTCTGTTAATACTATTTTTTATAATGTACATATAAAGCGTACATCTTTGTACACTGATCCAAAGCTCAAAAGGTTAATGAGTGTCTTTCCATTGACATCAATGGGCTTTGGATCAGGCCTTGCATTCCTGCATTCAGAGCTCTCGACTTTACTGAGTTATGCAGCATATTCCGCTTTGTAGCTGGTTCAGCCTCCCTGTATGACATAATCCGGCAGGGCGGTGCGGGTCTTCCTCTTGGAGCTGCTCTGGGTCCTCTCCCCTCTCTTCTCCTCCCCACTCTGAGCTTGAATAATCCTTTTGCAAGTAGTTCCATTGACTGCAATCATTTTGGGCTC